TGGGACACCACTTGGATCTCGGTATGACTGGCTGCCAACGGGCAATGAGCCAGAAATGGCCATTCCAGTTTCCCATATCTTTGCCGACAATACTGTCTGCCTACTACCAAGGCAGAGGCTGTTCTCTCGCCGGAATCACGTTTTTATCTGAGCTTTCGCACTTTAACCTGGGTTCATCGACAGGGATAAAGGTTGCAACGAAATGGCCGCGCCAGCCACCTGCGCCCGATCCCGCCTCCTATCTTCTTGACTCTATCTTGACACCGGGCCCAGGTGGGTGAAGAAAGAGAAAGTGCGGTAGATGTGGCGCAAGTCCTCGACCACTTAAAACTAATTCACACGCAGGTCACTGCGACTGCCTTCAGTTTGCTGAAGCACGCGGTGGAAATAGTTGAACTCGATGGACGAGCTGTCGTCGGCTGATCAGTGGACAAGGAATGAGGCGGCGACTGCTGTTTCGTACCACCTGGTTGTGTAAAGTTTGGTGAGTGTTTCAAGGGCGAAGTGCACTGCACCCATCCCACCTCAGGTGACCGATCAGCTAGACGGTGGGGGGAGGGTGAGTGTGGTCGACCCTCAGGGCATTTATTTTCTCACTAAAAAAAATCCTAGGCGATTGAAGCTATCACGGTGTGCTCAAAGCCGTGGCTTGGAGGGTTGCCAACTGATGGGATAAATTGGACACCGCAGTCAGTCCACTATGTGTCTTGTTGTGTGGAATGGCTTACTGCGGGCCGAGAGTCAGGCTCAGTGGCTCCTTCTAAATGTGGCCTTTATGGCACTCCAATGCGGGAGCCTATCTAGCGAGACGTGCTCTTGGTACGCGTGTTGGAATGTGTTTCGCTCAGACCGCCTGCGCCCCTTCCCACCTCCGGTCTTCTCGAATTTTGTCTTGAAATCGGGTTCCGGTGTGGGAGTGGTGAAAGAGTGGGGTAGATTCACCGTAAGTCTACTTTCACTATATCTCCGCGGGAGTCCCCGCGTTGCTTCAGCCTGCTGAAACTCGTGGTGGACATAGTTGAGAGCGACGGTCGGACTGTTGTGCTATGCAGCGCGCAGACGGGTTCGTCAGTCCCGTGCGCCACTGCCCCCACCCGGCATCAGACAACTGACTGGCTCCAACGGTGGCTGGGGCCTGGGAATGGGAAAAGAGAGTGAGAGCGACGACTAGACGCATTTCCCTCACTATAAAAAATCTGACA